TTTGTGTTTGGTTTAGTCTCGCTCGACTGCCGACTGAGACTGCTCGAGTATTTTTTCCGAGTCATTTTCTAAAACAGAAACGGTTTTATCTTTCTTCTTGCTGCTAGACTATGCTTCTGGTATCTGTTCAATGCCTGGACAAGACTTTCTTGTACCTTATCTTTAGCCCAGTCATGTAAAATATTATCTAAATTCTTAAAACTTTCCGCCATTTTAAAACACAGATGGAAAAACTTTGAAATGATGACGTCAATCTTGCGTCTGTCCTCTAATAGATCATAGGCGAGAACCAATCAAAATGCGGGAATAACTTGGGTTATTATATAATAGATATTAGATTTTGTAGAAATGAGTACAGGTTTTATTTGTTTAGGAAATTCTCCGATGTTCTGTAATCAAGGAAAAAATCCGCAATTTTAACAGCAGTAAGCAGAACACCACTGGTACAGAAACAAGTTAGACAAGTTTTACTGATAGTTAAATTTATTTCACATTATACCTTATCGCACGCGAACATGGTAGAGTCATAATTTGCATCTTGGCAAGACGTAGTCGAGCCAATATGCTCATGGCAAGACCAAACGAACCTGATATGACGCCGAACTGTACTAAAACGAACCCTGAGCGTCGCGAAACAGTTAACTAAACCCAACTTGTTGTTGTTGTTGTTTTTTTTTTGCTTGCGGTGCTGTTTTAGGTACAAAGCGTCTTGGTGCAGGCAATTCCGTTCTGTTCTCTGGAGATCCTGGCTCACCAATAATCGAGATGTTGTTATTTTGAGAATTAGACTCTTTCAGTGTTTAGTGAGTGTCACTATTAAAATTCAGTTGCCATTTTAATATTAGTCTTTTGGTAGGTGTCATTGGTATGCTATACTGTAATTAATTTGTGTGGTTGTTTTAAAGTTTTGAAAACTAAGAAAAACTGTATGGAAAAAGATGCTTGATTACAAGCTCTGCCAGCATAGAAATCCAAAATAACAAAAATCCAGCATAGAAATCCTTCATTAATTTTTTAAAACATTTTAAACCTGTAATGAAAATCTTGCACTTAAACATTACAAAATTGCCTCAAATTGACAGTATATTTGTGTGCGCTTCTTCACGCATCCAGTTGTTAAGATTGGCATCGTCACATAAGAGACTCCTGAGAAGAGCTTAAAATTGTCCAGTATGATTGACATATGATTGACATGGTCACGTCACGGGTTTTTGTAAAGATTCTATTGCTTTCTATAGACAATCATTCTTTGTACCTCTAACTATGTTATGATATTTCGCTCAAGCTTATAGGTCTTATCATGGGAGTAGTTTACTTCCAGACAAAGGTCGACCAAGACGGTGTTTATAACATCTATGGGGTTTGTTTCTTTATGATCACTACATGTACGTTCGCCAACATTGGGGCAGTTACTTTTGTAAGTGTAGCAATAACCCACCATTTTTCTAAGTATTTTCTTTCTTCCTGCCTGTCTACCTCCTTTGTGTTTGGTACATTTTGTGTTGTACCTATATGTCGGCTTGTCCTCATAGTACGTCTGTATGCCGGCAGCTTTGTCTAAAGTCCTTTCTTTCTTTGATTGTTCCTTTGTCTGTTTATTATTAAATTTGTCATATGACTAGTACTGAGACAATTACTTCAATGTGATTGGCTGAGACTAAGCCAATTTATCGTTAGTTTTTAATTTGCACTACGCCACAAATAGGCCAATCTCGATATGTTAAAATTTTAACTCGGTTCCGAGGCTTGGAGAAATAAACTGGCAAAAGAAATTCATCACTCATCCTTAGGGCTTGATGCGATTTGTTTTGATTTATTCTCCTAAGCCTTGGAGCCAAGTTAGAATTTTAATATATCTAAAATGGCCTATTAACATAGGGGCTTTCGTACTTTCCTCAGTCATAGAGTATTTGAGTAATTGAATGAAAGGTTCGAGAGACAATCTGAGAGGATTTAAAATATCACTCGTGGTGTAAATCCGTACATGTAACTGCAATCGCATTCATACGATTACCAATATTCATTTATCGGTTTGGGAGGCGCGGTGGCCTCGTGGTTAGCGCGCTCGTCTCCGGATCGAGGGGTCCGGGTTCGAGCCCTGGCCGGGGACATTGTGTTGTGTTCTTGGGCAAGACTCTTACTCTCACTGTGCGTCTCTCCACCCATGGGTATGAATAGGTACCGGCGACCTTAATCCCTGCACTAGCATCCCATCCAGGGGAGGCAGACTCCTGGTCGCTTTATGCTACAGAAATCGGGATAAGCTCCGGCTTGGTGGGCCACTTGGCTCGTATGCAGACTTTACCTTTTTATTGTATCGGTTTATTTTTATTGTTAGACCTTCCCATCTGAACGTTCTGTGTTTTTACGAGAACATCACAATAGGATGTATAGAACAGATGTTTACTTCCTGAGCAAGACCATCGCTGAGGTATGTATCTAGTTAAATATGGACAATTATGTTTCAGTGGCACAGTAAGACCAGAATCTTGCAACTGAGGATTTGAGTCCGAGTGAGACATTGTTCTTTCTACGAGAATTTAAACATGATTATGTGAGCGAGCATGTTCTTTTACTGTGGCTAGTGAGGGTACAGTCTTCACCGCGGGCTATCACTTTAACGTGGCGGTGGAGCTTGGATTTATTTTTTATGATCTTAGAAGCTTAGCCCCTGGCAGGCCTACCAGCCGGATTGGTCAAGGGTGTGAGACCAAACAAACAGCAGTTCTTGGTTCTCCAGGTTGGGGGTTAAACAAAGGTCTAACCACCAACCTTCACAAGAAAAGGGCTGGTTACGGACGCATGAACAAGGATTTGGAAGGAGACACAAATCGCACGAGAGAGAAACCAGAATGGAAGAACTTTGTTCATGCCCTACGTGACACTTGGCACCAACAAGATAGGTGATGAACTTGGCGCTTAAAGGACGAATGACGACGACGACAACAATGACATAACATAACCTCAACCGTTGTTTAAATTGTTACTCTGATCCTTGCAGTAAATACGCTCGATAACTTACCTCACTGTGACTACAGCTGCCTCTTAAATCTCCAGTGTAACCTTAAGTAACTTGTGGTTTACTTTTTCAATTTCAGGCGCCTCAATTTATTGTTGGTTCGCTATTTTTGGCTATTGTTGCCTACTGGATGGTCGGTAAGTGGCACAAGAACAAGATAGGTACTCGGTGACTACGTAAGTCATATTATATTATGATTTTTTGACTAAACCACTGGTCTAATTACTTTTGCTATCTTATCGTGGCAAGATCCCCCTCTCGTTCTGTGTTGTCACGAGTGTCTCCGTTTGCGCCGAAGCTAGTTTATGACTTGTGCACATAAGTGCACATCTTGCATGGTCAGAGAAAACCATAGAAAATTTTGTGGAGCAAGCTTACCTTATTTGGTCCTGGTCGGGTAGGGGCGGATTAATTTGGTGGATTCACCCACCAATTATTTTTTAACTCCAAGACCATTTGAGCAATGATAATGAAACTTGGATGCTTCATGGTGCATTCCATCTCTTTGACGTAATTAAGCAACATGAAATGAAGACATCTCGTCATTTGGCAATCACTTAATGTTATCCAAACAGCCGCTATATTTTTATTTTCTACAACGTTAGAAAGCGCTAAACAAGGACTCAAAAGTAATCCAAAATCAATAAAAACAAACTAAAAAAGTTCTAAAAATGTGAAAAAAGCTGCATAAGAAGCTAAATTTTGTTGATAAAAAGAGGAAAATATGGAAGCACACGCCTGTCAAAATATGGTTGTCGTGGAAACCTTAACTTTCGAGAACATTGAAATAAGTCAGCAAATTGTTCTTAGACTGATGTATTTCACACGACGTAGAAAGGCTTAAAGCATTGAAAAAGTTAGAAATAGTTAAAGCCAGTCCAGGCTCTTTCCCTGCAGTACAACACGTTGTTACTTACTTTGTTAGAAATATTTAGAGCGTGACAAGCATTATTAGTGCGTGACAATCGTTTAGCGTTACATTTGATATCCAAGATAATCTTAACAATAACGTAAATCGTATTTCCTCAGCAAGCTTATCGAGAGTGTACTTAAGGAGCTTTACTTTGCATTTTTAATCAGTGAATGAGACATATTCGAGACTTAGGGAGTGATTTAGCTTTGAACATTGAAATATATCACAACGAGGGCGAAAGTCATTAGTGACTAGTGTTGATATCCTCCATTCTAACAGCTTCATGTAGTCTTAATATGTGAGGTTCTATTTTACTTCTTTTTAGGACTGCGACCTGAATTTGTTAGGTTTCTCGTTGCGTGTGGGATACTTTCCTTAGTCAGCATGACAGCAATCTCTTACGGTTTGTCTATTTGCTGTTTTATATTGTAACATGTTCGATTGACAACCGCAAAGTTTTACCAGAAGCAAATTGGCTTTGTTTATATTTCAAAAGCACGACACAAAAATATCAGTGAATTTATGCTACAAGTCAAAGAAAATACAGAATCTTTCAATGCCAAGAAAATCAGTACAATCTCCAGACTCGTTTCCCCTCCCCCC